TCCAACTTTTTCTAGGCAATACTTTGATATCAACAACAGTCCATCAGAATCTCAAATCAAAGAAATGTCATTGAAAGCTGGTTTACCGGAAAAAGTCATCAAGCATTGGTTCAGGAATACGTTGTTCAAGGTTTGTCGACCCTTTTGTAAATCTGCAATTGCACAATTCTCCCGCTACAGTAGGAACTCCTTTTCAAAAATACCTGCAATTTATCAGTGGCTAAATCTAGTTTAATTTGAGAATGTGGGTAAAATGACGGCTTTCTGGGGTGGGTTGAGCTAGTTCTGTATGACGTTGGAGGTTAGTGCAGTGGCAGCCTTCCCTCTCTTCATAATCCTATTAGGGCAAAGTTTTTCTGTAGAGCTTACTGTGGTGGTGAAGGGCATGGTAATGTTTATAACGGAGATAATGTAAATGTTTCCTGACAGATGCCATCTTTCCATTACCGTATCCTTTGCATGAGTACGATGAACTTTACTGGGAGACGATGCGCGTATATCGCATGCAGGCACGCGAATAATGTTTTGAGCGTGCGCATACGCGTATGACGAATTACCGCCTGGGAAATGAAACAATCGCTAAATGTCGGGCTCCTCATTGCTGACANCATACGCGTATGACGAATTACCGCCTGGGAAATGAAACAATCGCTAAATGTCGGGCTCCTCATTGCTGACAGATTTGCCCTTCCTGTCTGGGGATATCCAGGGTAGGAGAGGGGTTGGACGGACACGAAGGTGGTAACGGAAGACCTTAAATCAGTGTATGGTTAGGCACAGTTGAATAGATTGGCGTGAGACCCTACCTAATTATCCAGGCTCCAATTCAAGTCTTCCACCTTCTATGCGAGTTTGCTACAACGGCCATTGGACCTACTAATCTTTTTCTCGTTTTATCTTAACAATTGAGTTCCGTGACATGGTGTAAGATAGTGTTTTCGAAGAAATCGAACGTATTCTCTGATTCAGGAACGCCAACGTGATAAGGATTCTCCGTACAACTTCAGTGTACCACCACAGATGGGTATCGACCTGGATACATATGAAAAGACCGGTGAAACGAAGGTCGTGCCGCTTGCATCTGCTGCAGAGGTAGGTCCTGATTTTTTTCGTCATCGGTTGACTGTCTATAAAAATGTGTTTCTTGTCCCCCCCCCCCCCCCCCGGTTGGTAGCCTGTAGAGAAGATCATAGCAACAGCTCTCATGGGAAAAACTGATGTACGACGATAGTGAAGTGGCTAGACGTTGAGGCTTGGGGTCTTGTCTGTCTGCGAAGAGTTTTCAACACCTGTGGAAGTGGGGTTATGCTACGTTACCACACATAGGTCAACTAAGTTCGAGATCGAGACCCGCCTGGGCTAGCCAGGATAGGCTCACTGCCTGTACGTCCGCTAACGCTAATAGTGTAAGCTGATTAAGCTGAACACCCATCCAACTTTTCTACGATGACGAAAGGCAGTCGAGTGAAGCATCTCGAAACGGGAAGGTCCTCACGTGATGAAGAACACCTACCTGGAGCATAAAATTGTAGGCGGTTGACAACCCACATTGCCCATGTTTCAATCATATAAAGCCGGGTTCCAAGTGCTATCGCAGCTGCCAAAGGCTACTCCGGCATGAATATGCCCTACCAGGACATTGCGAGACGATTTTTTCTATCTAGCTCATCACATGAGTTCGTTCTATGTTACCGTTAATGGACATTACCCTCGCGACATTACTGTTGTTCCATAAAGTTGCAGAAGGGTTTAGACCGTCTTTCAGTGTTTGAACTGATTGATTCCGGACAACAATTCGGTATTGCATGATTAATTGTAAATTAAGCCTTCTGAGTTGTTTTTTCAGGTGAAACGTGAGCCATCACCGAAACCTGTTGAAACACCGACTGTGCCTCCCTTGAATCTTCAGGCGATGATGCAGCAGATGCAACACGCGAATCCATTCCAATTCATGGACCCCTCCGGAATGATTTCTGGTCAGCTTTTTGGCTTAAGTCTTTCTTGAAGAACTGACCAACGAACATATACTTGAATACCTTACGAATATAGGAAGTAAATTAAGATGTTCATCAGTCAATAAGTGTTAAGTTGAGAGATAAGTCCTGCAACGCTGGAAATGTTTCTCCAGGAAAAAAACAGTGCCTTTTCAAATGTAAAATTAATAAAAATAGCAATATTAACAAAAAATGTTGAGTTATGAAGTTACAACACTACAAAATAATTATTAGTAAATTAACGAATATAAAATTCAAAAACTTGTGTAAAGTGTTGCGCTTTTCTTCCAACCTAATAGCACCCTAAGCTGCCGTATTCATTTCCAACTAGGTATCGCTGCTTTCCATTTCTTCTCCTCAGAGTTATTGAGTGCCCATTTAGGAGATTCCTTTCACTCTCCCAATAGTTTGAGCGACATTGTAGCCACTTGGAATGGGCGTAGGGCTCCACTCTTGACTAGTTATACGAAAAAACTAGAAATCGTTGATGTTTTTCTTGACGAAGTTGTGGTTGATATGATCATGATTAGGTAGATCGATTGATTATCGACTAACGAACTATGTGTTCAGGGCCAATAACCCAACTGTCGCAATCAAGTACCTCAGGTCGTCGAGCGAATCGAACCCGTTTCACGGACTATCAGCTACGGACTTTGCAACAGTTCTTCGACAAGCAGGTAATTTAGCGCTGAATTTTAACTTCACGGGAATAAATTAATCCATATGGCTGACAGGGTGGAATTCTAATTTTTTAGGCTTACCCGAAAGATGACGATTTGGAGGTGTTGAGCAAGAAACTGCAGCTGAGCCCGCGAGTGATTGTGGTGTGGTTTCAGAACGCTCGACAAAAGGTGAGTGTTTCTGCCTAGAACTCGAAATATCTGAAATAGATATAGGTTACATAGGAGTATGGCTAAT